ATGTTCAGGGGAACAGCTTTTAGGGAAGGACTCACTCCTACACGTCTATTAGGTGGGATAAACAAGCCAGCAAAACTGGATTGCCATCCTGTTCCCAGCCACTGCAGATGTGTTCCATACTGCTGCCTGGTGACGGGCGTTAACCGCCTCTAGGTGAATTTGTTCCTGGGTTTCTCTTCCTTGTGAGCCTACAGCCAATGTCAAGCCATGCCATGATGGCTTAAGGAGAGCCCTTTGGGCTGGCTCATTACTGACTGTCAGCCAGCTGCACGTGTGCCACATGGCATAAAAGAAGGAGGCTGGGGGGGAGTTAATAACGCAAAGAAATTTTGTACGTTTGTGTCTTAGGAGCTGCCTGTAATTTCTTAAATACCAGTTCAGGGAATGAGTGTTCCCACTACAAAAGTAATCAGAACATCAGTATGTGGGGATGTGTGGTGGTGGTGGTGGTGGTAGTGTACACTCATCAGCCTTTACTTAAGGGATCTGACTGGTTCAGTGGCATTATTCACACATGGGCAGGTGATCCTACTGATAGAAATCTCTTCTCTAGCCTCAGAGGTAGAGAATAATTCAGTTTAGTTCAAAGGTATTTAAAACCTAGAAACAGTGGAGAATCTGAGTTTATACTAAAGTGATTTTCAGAACAGCTAGCTGACTAGCTTATGTGACTAAATTTAAAAAAAAATAAAAAGTTTGGAAAGGAACCTCTGAGATGTGATTAGACAGTCACAGTCACTTCATTAACCCCATTTTGCTGGCAATCATATTGCTCAGTCTAAGGTAGGACCTGGTCTGGCTTGCCCAAAATCAAATGTCAGGCCTATTCACATACAAGATGATCTTCAAAAGCTGAATCATTTAAACCTGATCAGAGTATGACTGAACTAGGACATGCTCGGGTGGCTTGGACCCATATATGTGGCTTTCTAACCTTAAAAAGAAGGTGAAAATGCATCTTGAGGAGCCCAGCTGAGAGACAGGAAACACTTGCAATGAGTCAAACTGGGAAAAAACCCAAGAAATGTGGAAGCTCCAAAGGGATTGGAAGTCTGGTGCAGCTGGCTTCTGGGTCCCTAGGCTGAGAAAGAATCAGCAGACCCTCAGAGGAACTTCTCACTCACTCAGGAGGAACAGCTCCTCCTGCCTGGCGAAGGGAGAAACCAGCTCACCAAACATGGCTCTCCAGAGTCACAGCCCACAACATTCAGGCACCTTTGGGGGATTGGGAGGAGTGTCTTCTGTGCTCAGGAAGGGCAAAGGGTGTGAAGTGCTCAATCTGCTTCTCTGTTTTTCCCTAGGACCACCTGTCCGAGCCGCGCTCCCCGGCCAACGGCGACTACCGCGACAGCGGGATGGTCCTGGTGAACCCCTTCTGTCAGGAAACGCTGTTTGTGGGACACGAGCAAGTCTCCGAAATATGAGCCCACGGCTGCCCCCGTACTGCAGTTTCATCTCTACTGTCTCCAAATTATAAATAAATATATATATATTATAAATATAACCTTTGTGTAACCCTGAATTACAAGAAATGTTTTCAGCTTTTCTTTCGTCCCTCAGAATTGTCAGCCCCTTTTTTATAAGTGTGGTAAAACTTTACAGAACAAACTGTGGCTTTATAAAATAAAGGTATTTCTAAGCAAAACACCTGTCAGGTGGTCTGTTTGCTTTACTCTCATTTACAAACTGCTGCTAGATATACATGGTCTGGAAAAATACTGAGTAAGGCTGCTCTTGGTGCAGGCAGCATGTGGTGGGTGCATCATCCTGCATCCTACATGATATCACTCAGCTGAGCATAAGCATTTCTGCTCAGTGACTGTCCCTTCTCCTACTTCAGACAATCACTCTTTTGCTTCAGGCTGCTAAGCTAGAATGCAAACCAGACAGGGCCAGTTCAGTTGCCAGATGCAGTCTGTACAGCTCCTCTGCCAGTCTTGTGTCCTTTCTGTGACTCCAGTACTGCCTGAGCACCAACTGGGATGAGCCCTTTACTGTCCCACTTCCAGTCTGAGCTGCAAAACTCTTTTATATGAGCAAGGACAAGAATGGCCCTTTTTTCCTGCATAATTGTTTTAACCACACTACACATTAGACTCACAGCTGCTACACTTCAGCCCAATAAGCCTAGAATTATTTCCTGAAGATCAAACAGCCTCAAAAGAAGGCATGTAGAGTGCTCCCTTCAAAGGAACAGAAAATTCCTTTACCAAAAATCTTGCAGTCTGGTCACTAGAGACTGCTTCCAATTGAATGCTGTGGCTTTGACCACATTTCCCCTTCTCCATTGTTTTATTTATCTTGCATGTTTAGACTGCTGGTGCCACTGAATCAAGTTTCCTCATACCCTCTTCTCCTCTCTGGGACTTTCCCCCTTAGGAATGAAAATGCAGCATTTCAGAGCAAAATGGCAATTCTGTCCTACCCTGTTAAGTCTAGATTGCAGACTCTAATAGTGTTAGGGGAATAGTAAGGGTGAACAAAGCCTAAATGATGGATTAAAAATAGGTTGCTGCAAGGCGAGACTAATAGGAAACATGGAATGACTTGGCCCAAATCGATGCTCTCTCTTGGAGTAACCCAGAACTGTTACTGTGGGACCAATTCTCAGTTTTGCTTCTCAAATTACTCTTTTTATGTCATTCAGCAAGTGAAATGGCTGCTATTTGAAGCCTTGTCCTCCTTCTCCCCACCTCTGGCCACCAGTTCTGCTAGACAATTTTCTGCTTTCACTCCTCACTTCATCAGGAGCAGGCTGTGAGGGGCAGTTTAGCCCCTGCTCCAGCTGGCTGCTCCCTGCCACCCTACCAGCTACTCAGGTTTAATGCTTGGCTGCATCAAAGGCAAGTTTGGGCAGGACAGGGTTCGTGTAGCATCATTAACCGTATGCCTTATTCAGGGTGAGCCACAGCTGGTGCTAGAAAAGAGACTTACAGCAGTGGCACATCTGGTCCAGCTGTTCCCACTTGACAGCAGTGTCCCAGTGGCTGCTGTTGGTCAGAGCAACATAACAACTTTACTAAATGATGGCTGGAGTCAGACCCAGACTTGCCTCAGGGGGTCACAGAGGCCTCATTGCTCCTCCTTTCCTCACCATCCCACACATTCGCTTCTGCTGTGCGGACTGTAGACTAGAGGCTTCCGGAAAGTGGAAGACTGTGATGTTACAGGGACTCTCCTGGATATTTGTTTGTCTGGTCAGCATCAGAGGGTAGTGCAAGGCTTTCTCATGAGGTGATAGTGTAGGCAGGATGACAAGGCTGTGGATGGGCATGGATGGGCACTTTGGGAATATATCTTTTCACCGTGGGATAAATGCTACGCAATATGATACCTGTGATCATACCGATGAATTACTAAACAGCCTCCTAGAAACCACTGATAGGAGAGTAAAATCCCTGAGGGTACTGCCAAGAGCAAAAGCAATCCCACAAGGATCTTTGTTTTTATTTGAAGAGGGAGGTGGACAGAGGGAACAAGGTTACAGAAAACTAAATTCAGTTCTTTGAGAAAAAAAGTCCATGTTACTACATTTGTTCTCTGTACATGGTATTACTTTTGCAAGGGAGATTTTCTAATTTGACACAGAGCAACTACACTGAAAATACTGTGTAAGAAATACAGGAGGATGCTTCTCATTTAGCCAGCACAGTTTCCTTGGTATTCCAAAGGCAGAATACCTAAGCTAGCCAAAAGTATTTGCAGAGCTGAGAGATGCTGGGCTGTTCCCAGTCTTCACACAACCTGGAAATGGTGACCTGGCTGTAAGCAGCCTTGCAGTTCTCAAACTTAAAAAAACAAGTGAAACAGACTCCAGCCATCAACCCAGCGAGCCAGGATTAGGCAGCAGTGGAAGGCAGGGATTTCTGATTGTGTCCTGTCTCGCCAAAGACTCACCACTGCCCCTGCACAAACCTACACTGCATTAGGGCAATGCCCAACATCAGCACATTACAATCGTGCCTACAAAGATGCGCACACGGTGATCCTACACTGGAACAGCATCCTGGCTGTGAAGTATCCCTGTGTGTAGGTAGAAAAATCCAGGCCTAACACTGTATTGTGAAGGATCACACCGTACCAGGATCACTTAATGCTACTTAATACTTGTTATTACCTATAAACTACCCACCTGATCACTAGTAGGCAAAGAATAAGTGGCATAAGAACAAAAGCCGGGAAAATCTCCCCATTTCTCTGCTTTAAGTGTCTAGGACTGTTTTGCCCTTTTCTTTCAGTTCACAGTTGCCTCACTTTGTCCCCATGTTATGCAGGCAAAGAAGTGAAGCAGGCCCTTGTTGAACAAGTGCAATTGATTATGTGGAGTTAAAATGATTGAGAAGGGGTGGACATGAGGTTGCTTGTCCCTATAAAACCTGTTGGGATTGTGTCAATGTGCCTTGGGTGGGTGGTGAAGCCGAGTTGCAAAGAAACCCAGAAGTTGCAGCAGACCCAGGGGAGCATTCGATGCCCTGCAGTGGCAGAAGGCTGGTTCAACTCTGCTCAGTTGTGGCTCAGTTGACTCCACAGAGGTTTGTGTTATGCTGAGTTAGGAAATGTCTTACTGAAGTAGACTGTGTCTGGAGCAAGCACTGGTGCGAGAAGCAGATGCGTCTGTAATATATAACTGGATAGCTGTGACTGTAAGGGTAGGAAATCATCCGGGTGTCAGCGTAGAAAGCACTGCTGGTATTTTAACACGTGCATTCTACTGAATCCCCGTCCCGCTGTCCCCATAAACACCATTGTGCTTTTCATCTGCCACATTTGCAGCAGCAGCAGCCGGGAGATTTCCCCTGAAATGGGATTGCTGACCCAGCAGCCGCCCGGACAATGTGACGGGCGCTCCCAGGCAGCACAAAGCCCCCTTCCAGAAAGCCGTCGCACAAAGCCGAAATCCCGAGCGAGCCCCGAGCTGCTGGGCTCGGCACATCCCTCCCGCCAGTGCCGGGCGAGGCGGCCGGGCTGAGCGGCGGTGCTCGGCAGGCCGGAGCGACAGCATGCCCTTGCCGAGGCGCCGGTCGTCCTTCCTGGGGCAGCAGCCCTCTACCTCCACGGCCGAGAGCTCGGGGCCGCCCGGCCGCCGGGTGAGCGTCGGAGGCGGAGGGAGCCTGTCGAGACCCCCCGGCGTCTACGTGGGCACCGTCCCCACGGGCGGCGTGAGCAGCCTGGGCACCCGAGTGTCCCGTAGAGCCCTGGGCATCAGCAGCGTCTTCCTCCAGGGTCTCCGCAGCTCCGCCGCCGCCGTGCCCCTGGCCCCGGGGCTGGATAAGGGCAGGGGTCTCTCCTACGAAAGCCTGAATGGCTGCTTGGTGGAGTACATCGAGAAGGTGCGGGCTCTCGAGCAGGTCAACCAGGAGCTGGAGGAGCACATCAGAGTCTACCTGGACAAGAAGGCGGCCAGCGTGGGCAGCTGGGGAGCGCTGCGGGAGAACTGGGAGGCCATTTACCACCAGGTGAGAGAACTGGGGGGCCATTTACCACCAGGTGAGAACTGGGGGGCCATTTACCACCAGGTGAGAACTGGGGGGCCATTTACCACCAGGTGAGAAATGGGGGGCCATTTACCACCAGGTGAGAACCGGGGGGCGATTCACGGCCAGGCGAGCGCCGGAGCGCTGCCGGCAGCCGGGGGAGCTGCCCGGGTCACCGGGCACCAGGCTGCTCATGAATGCTGTCTGATTGCAAGGCACGGTGCCCTAGACAGAGGGTTTAAAATCTATCTTCGTGATAATTAGCATTATTATGTCTATTAAGCAGGAGGATTGCCTCAGGCGTCGTGCGCATGAGAGCGATTGAAATGCACCCCAAGGCGCCGAAGTCTGGGCCGATTAGAACGGGTGGGGGTTTTTTTCCTTTTTTTTTTTTTTTTTTTCCCTTTTTTTTTTTTTTTTTCCCTTCTTCTTTTAAATCTGTGGTTATTACACTGAGTATCAAAATTATTGAAAGAAACCTACTAGGACTGAATTAGGTTATCATTTAACATGATATCATTACAAGCACGCTGTGGGTTTTATTTTTAATCAGCAATTCAGATTTTCACTTTATTCCCTTGTTGGCTTAATAACATTTTCGAAAGCTCCATTTATTTAGAAATAATAATTACATGGTTACAAATTAGTGGCTCCCTTCCTTTCCTTTGCCACCACCCTACCATCCCTTACTCCCACCTTCTCCATATGGCACAAATATTTATTGTGAGGCAGCGAAATGAGGTCTGTATTGACCTCATGGACAAGAAGGAGTTCCTTTTGCTGGCCAGTAAAGCCTTGCAGGCTGATGTCCTGCTTGCAGCAGACACAGGGCTCTGTCTGCTGAGGTCTTGGTGCACCACACAAGCCTGGCTTCCCAGCTCCCAGCCAGTGGGAGCAGACGGGATTCCAAAGACCTGGAGTCTGGCATCTTGCACACCTCTCACACCTCTTCCCAGCAGCGCTGTGCAGGCACAGAAAATGCCATCACTGGGTCTTCAGAAAGCCTGAAAGCCAACTTTAAGCTGACTGGGACAATTGTGTGTTTTAACTTGGTCTGGCCCGTTTTTCCTTGTATTATTACAGCAGGTCTTCTCCCAGAACATCACAAACATTGCCTGAACTCTGAATGTGTTGGCATAAGCTGTTGTACAAAGATCATGTCAGCAGGAACACCTAGTTAAGCACCAGCTTTTAAAGTTTCCACCTTTTATTACTAGTAAATGATGTCATTGCTTCCTGAAGGGAGCAGCTGCTGAAGTAAAGGGGTGTTCTGAATCTGGGGTACAAAAAGCCATCTCTTTGAACATATGATCTTACTGGAGAAGAAGGGGACTTGGATAGAGGACAGGGAGTTAATCCTTTGCAGCTGCCATCCCGTGTTCTCCACACCAGTGTCCTATTTTGCAGTTGTAGACTTTATCTGTAAATCCTACTGAAATTTATGTTTGAGACCAAAAATGTGGGACCAATAAGTACTTAAGGAAGGACTACTCTATTTTTCATTGTATAAACACCCAACATTGCAGCGCAGATGAACCTGCTATGTAATAATTTTTCATCCAAATTGCTTTCCTTTCAACCTTTCTTTGTAGTCATCCTTGCCTCTGCCTCTTTTTTATGAGTGAATAGGAGCATCTCATAATGAGATCTAGCCTGAACATCGGTCTCTTCCTATACAAAAATCAGAAAAATAAAGCCATGTAGTAACAGCATTGGTGAGTGTCATAGAAAAGAACAGAAAAAGACTAGCATCATCCGTATCTATTGAACTATCAAAACACATCAGAGAACACATAAAATTTTCTGAATTGCTTCAATTAAATCAATAAAAGAGGCATCACTTAGTGGGTTTTGTCTTTCACGGATGTGATCCAAGCTGTTATGTAAAATTCTGATTAATAGATTGCTTTGCTTTTTTTATTAAGCATTTAACCAAAAATCAAAGTAGAACCCTATCCAGCCCAAACACCAATTAACTCATTCGTCCTGGAGCTAATTGGAAAAATTATGCCAGCATCAACATCAAAACCATCACATTTATTAAAATAATGTCAAAATCAGTTGCTGCAGAAACAGCTGGAATCACACAAAGTCAGAACCCTCCTGCCACGACATATCCCAAACAGAAAAGTAAAAGGCATTCAGGAGCAAGGTGTAGCAGAAATGAGAGGCACCTGGCAGATACATTCCTAAATGTAATATTTGTAAATATATTCAGATTTTCTGCAGATGTCCACATCTACCCTGATTTCTTTGAGAGTGGCACACTCCATTTTCAGCTTCTTGTAAAATCTGAGCACTCATTTTGATTCCTGTCCAGGCCCATGGGTTCAGTGAGGAGAGATCCCTGGCAGCCATAAAACCCCTCGGTGCCATTCGCATAAAGCCGCTATGAAAGTTTTGGGGGAAAAAAACCACTCAAGCAGGCACCTGGTTTAGCCCACGCACTCATGATAGGAACAGTTTTTGAACAAGAAGGAGCAGCAAAGAGAAAGACACAATTGGGAGGGGTCTAAGCAGGAGCCCTTTCCTCCTGCCCTGCTAATGAGAAAACAAGGACATGGCCTCAAAGGACTCTCCTGGTCTCAAAATCACAAATGTGACAGGCCCATCTCTGCAGTGGCTCAGGAGAGACCCCAGCAGACCTGAAGTCCCGTTTCCCTCCCGCCCTTCCTGGGATGTGCTCCAGCATCCCAAATTTCGGGTAGCTGCATTGCAAGCAAAACCAGCCTATCTCCCAAACTCAGAGCTAAGGGAAAAAACGTGTCAGTGAGGGACTCAGAGGGTGTGTGTGAGTGCAGGGTCCCTCAGGAGAAACCACTCATGTTTCCTTGCAATTGTCAGAGCTATGGCTGCAGCGGGGGATCACTGGTGGGAGCTGAATGATGGAAAGCAACTATCCAGCTCACAGGGTTAATTATCTGCCTGGGCAGCTGGCTTTAAGCAGAGCAGGTGGACACACACTAATTGGGAGAGGCAGAAAGCAAGAGGATTTTTGCAGAAAAAGAGGGAAATGAGAAATCCTTGCCAATAGGAATTCATGTGACAGAATTAAAATTTCATGACAGAAATACAAATTTTACCCTGTGCATACTCTTCTTCTCCAGGCTTCATCCTGGTCTTCTTGTGGAAAACTCTATCTCTAATCAAATGTGTCTCTTCTGCAGAATAGGAGACTGTTTGCAATGGCAATTTCTTCCCAGGGTACAGGGCAGCACTTGGGAGAAGTGGATGCTTGAAACAATCTGAGTTTCTGAGAGAGAAGAGGGTAGCTCAGCCTCCATGACTGTTCAGTTACAGCTGCATGGGAGACACAGATTTAACTCGTCTATGAGGTGACACACAGTGCAGTTCAGATCACAGGAGGAAACACAAAAGCAGGAGAAGGCATCAACATCCTGGACCAATTTTATCACTGCTGTGACTGATCATGACATCCTGTGCATGGCTGGGAGCATTTGAAAGACCTCCAGAGTTTTTTCAATAGAGCTGCTTTTATTTGCACTTGGCCTCTCTATCAGCATTTAATCAGTGTGAATATTAAGCCTGGAGAACACACAGGTCTAACAGCCTGAGGAATTGCCACACTTGGACTCACACCCACTAATTTATTTGCTGCAGGGTCAGAAGAGCTGCTGTGGGTGTTACTTGTGACACACTCTAGCACAACACAGTGCGTGATCAGTGTCTGTAAATGGGTGAAATAGCATTCTGCTACTCATGTAAGCGTACAACAAACTCCTACAAAATGGCACAAAGCTTGATCAACTGCCCTACAGAGAATGGCAGTGAATTAGTTGTAGTGATCTTCTCTCAGCCACCTCCAACAGCATAAATTTGGGCTGCCTTCACAGGCAGCTGTGAGGTGGTGTGAGGTTTTCTCCTTGTGCTTGGGCAACATTACAGTTTTACAGATAATTTAAGAGATGTCTCCTTCCTGCTTTGAGAACCAGGCATTCTTTGATGCAGCCCTGTGTACTTAGAAAATATTTGATGTATACATGGAGTCGAATTTCCCTGGATGCAGCAGGAATCAGCAGAGGAGCCATCAATCTCAGCCTCTCTCCAGGTATTACCTTTCCTGAGGCAATGCAACAAATGCTGCTCTTGCCGCCTTTGAGGTTTCCTCCTTCAGGCTCTGAGAAAGGGTTCAACATGGAAAGCATGACCAAGACCATTAAGACTTTACTGCTTGGCAGTGGGCTGCAGGCTTTTAGCCTGATTTAATTGTGAATTAAACTGTGTTGGAGGCAATGGTCTGGTATCAACTATTTCCTTGCATGTGTGGAAGGAAAGACTGGATCGACATCTGATCTTTCCCCACGGAGGCGTTTGCTTTACTGAAGTGAGCTTACAAGCCAGAGAAGTTTCCATTACATAAATAATTAAACCATGGGATTCATTATCACAGGCCACACCTGAGGCCACAAATTTAATAGCAGTCAGAAAGGATTTAGACATTTGTAAGAATAACAAAAGTATACAAAGCTACAGATAAAGCACAGCTAAGAATTTGAAAGGCACAGTGAATCTTGCCGTGCCAAATTTGGCCAAATCTCTGTTAAAAATTAGAAGTTGCTAGTCACTAGCAGTTGCTAGTAGTAAATTCTCCCTGTGTCTGTATCTCTTCACAGTTTATCAAGTCTGGCAGCTGCCCACTCCCTTGAAGCAGCTGTTTTATCCTTGATGCCAGTTGTAATCCAGCAAATGAGCCAGTATGTTGATGCAGATTTTGATGAGACTTTTCTTCCAAAAAATTAACATTGCATTTTCATGTCCATAAAATCACAGTGAAATCAAAGAAAAATGTTGCTGCTTTGTAGTTAGGATGTTTAATACCATGAATATTCACTGTTAATTCGAGAGCTGAAAAAAATTGTGGTCAAAAGGTGGATGTGCATCACAGAACCGAGTGTTGAAAGACAATGTGTGACTGAAAGGAATTATTAGTAATAATATTTGCATTTTTTAAACTCTTCCCCTTTTGGCTCTTTGAATGCTACATGAGCATCAGTGACGTAAGCCTCCCAGAAGCAATGTGAGGCAGGACAGCACTGCCTTCTGCTTTACAAGCAGAGGAGGCAATGTCTGAATGCTTGCAGCATTGCAAGGCTTCTCATTCCCAATGGGCACAAAGAAGAGTGTTTCCTAAACTGCTGCATCATGTGTTTTAGTACGTGTGTCAGCAAAGTGGCTACAAATCTCTCCCACTAATGCTGTGTGTTTGCATCCAGCTGTTGATTAATAGGAGAATTAAATCAAACAAAAGAGCCATTAGATGGAAGACTTGGATCTCTTCTTTTGGAGCCTAGGAAAGGGCTTTCACAGTTCATGCAAATCAGAGGGAGTTTCTCAGGAAACATAGTTTGTACCATGTTAGACAGTGTTAGAAACTACTGTGTAATTACTTACCTTTTAAGTTCACTGTCAGATTTAAAGGGCCCACAGGTGATTTCCAGGAGTGCTGAAAAATTGGTGCCTGCTGGTTTCCACTGCAAGTCATCCCTGAAGTCTTCTCAACATTAGTTTGGGAGGTGGTGGTTATACTGTTTTTACTTACATGGCATAGTTCAGGGTTTTGTGCAGTTTTGGAAAGCCCTGGACCTTCTCACTGAGCCCTTGGCTTTAGCTGTGGGTCTATGAAGAGGAGAGTTGGGGTATTGACTGAATCCTCAGGAGTATGGTAAAGACATCCACTGTGGGGCAGGTAAAAGTCACCTCAAATGCCTCAATAAATCCACAAAACCACTAATGAAAAACACTTTTAAAAACCAGTCTGTCTCCACATAGATGCATAAATCCAGGCAGCAGCAGTTTACCAGCTGTTGACTGCTTCTGCTTTTGTTGCAGGCCAAAAGCCCTTTCTCACTGGATTCAGCCCCTAAACTTCACTACTAACATGCCTCTGAGTGACATTGTGCAGCTCAGAGGATTTAATATTACTTTTGCTCACAGGATGTTCCAAATTCACCCGAAGACATTAATTTTCATCAGACTTTAGGTCAGATGTTGTAACTGTGTGTAATCCCTGCCAGAGGCGAACGGGTCTGTTTCAACAGAGCAGGGCAAATCACAGGGCAACATTTCTGCTCCTTGATTGAGGCAGGGAAAAAAATTAAAGCTTCTGTGAAGATCCACACATGTATGAGCTGTCAGGAAGACAAAATAACTACTGTAGGAAAAAAGAAAATAAAGAAAAAAAAGTAGAAAAATAAAGCAACGAAGATTTCAGAGCTTGTGTCAAGGAAGTCCCTCTACTTCTGTGCTGACTAAATGTCAGATCTCCATCCTTCAGGAGAAACTCAGGTGTCCTGGTGCAAGGGAACCTGAGGACAGAAGAGTAGCATGTCACCAAAGTCCCAGCTCTGCTCAGCTGCTCTGAAATGCCACAGATGGACAAGCCAGGGTTTGGAGAGTTAGGATAGTGCTGGTAAAGTGGGGCTGCAAAAATCAGGGAGAAGGAAACAAGGGGTTGAACAATGAAGAGAAGCCAGTTCTGTGTGCAAATGAGCACACAGAATTCTTCTGTACTGTGTGCTGGATAACAGAGCTGGCTGGTGTGTGGTGAGGGATCATCTCTTTGCACACACCTGTGGCAAAGAGATCTCTGAGTCCTGTGCTTTTGCCACACTCCCCAGTTTTCCCATGCTGCAATTGAGGCTCTTTTTTTTCCCCTGAGCAGCAGTATCTACAGAACCTCTCTCTTCTGTCTAGATGCTATTTTCATGAACAGTTTTAGAACTGGATGTCTCTGAGATGGCCTATCCCTCTATCATATTATTTGAATTGGCCAAGAAATCCCACAGTTATTGAAGAAAAATAGGTTTCCCATGCAATGGTGTGAAAGAAGCTCCAGCCCCATCCACCTTCCCTGTTTGTGTTTTTTTTTTTGTAGCAGTAGGTAAGAATTAAGAAAAAAAACTTTTTTAACTCTTGTTCTTCATCAGATTGAAAAGAAGTAGAGTGCTTTTAACTTCCTGATCCATGATGGACATAATGAATAGTGAAGGAACAGGGTATTTCTCCACATTTCTCCTTATCAGATGCCTTCAGGTATTACATACTGTTTGGACCAAACATTTGTAAGACATTTGGAGTAGTATGCCACTCTCCATGAGGATAAATGTTAATGACCACCTAGAAACTTCAGCTTTGCATGCCCACCTCCACCCTGTGACCAAAGAGCCTCAGGGCATGAGGCAACACAGGGCAACAATCCTACTTGATATCCACTTGAGATAACTTGTCTGGATGCAGCTTTGATGTTTCCACATTGCATGGTGTGTTTCACCTTGGAGGAGCAGAACGCTTTGGGTAATTTGCAATATTAGTTACAGACTTAATTATCTAAATAAAGATTTTTCTGCTTCAAGAGCTCTTCTGGACAGCTTAAAATCTGATCTTATTCATGAGGTGATTTAGTTTTAACTGCAAATCTTCTTTAGTGTCTCCTGAAAAAGATCAAAGAAAAGTTCAGTTCAGCTTTTCCAGAGTGACAGCATGGATCATGGGGCGACTGGAGCTCCAAGACAGTTACTTGAGAGGTGATCACTCTAAGCCTGGTACTGAATTCTGCATGTCTTTGGTCACCTCCATAGCTCAGTGCACGTGTGACTCCAGGGCAGGCAGTGGTCTGTTTTAGCTTTTTATCATTTTATATAACCTTCCTGAATCACAGCAAGCTGATAAGTCACAAGCCTTACTGGTTTACTTACCCCTCAAGTGCCTCTTAGACATTAGAGATGCAGCCCAGACAGGATACCACAGTCCGATTTGCACGATCTTTCCAATCAGTGTAATAATCTTTGAAGGCTTCTCGGGTCTCATATCTATTGCAAGAGCCTAGAGAATCCCACAGGAGAAGGAAAACAATGCTCTGGGAGCTGAGGAGGGCTCACAGGCAGCATGAGCAACAAGTATTCTGTGGCTCCCTGAGGAGGATGACCCTGAAGAGGACTGCTAATATGGGAAGTAGAATAGGAACTGCCTAAGTGCTGCTTAAATTCTATCTAGAAAGTATAAGTGGGACTTAAATGATGAAAATACCTTGAGCACAGCAATGAATTTTGCCCCTTGCAAAGAGCTGATGATCAGAATAAATGTGTTGCTACAAGAAGATGAGGGCTTAGGAGGAATGAGCAGTTTGATGGCAAATTACAGCCTATTTGTGGAGAATTTGTGAACTTATGTGTACAAAAATAATTGATTAAGTTATCTGGAATGAGTCACTTGAACAGCCCTAGGATGAAGGATTATTTTCAGAATCAAAGATGTACGTCTGCTTAAGATACGTGTGCTGAAGCTCTTCATTGCTTGAGCTCTGTTGTATCTTTCTTCTAGGTGGGTGAAGCAGTCCTTGAAAATGCTCGTCTCATGCTGCACACCGAGAACATTCAAGCCTGTGCTGAAGATTTTAAAGACAGGTAGTCCTGTGGTGGCACCCAGCTGGCCACTTTCTTTAAACTTTGCCTTTGTGAACACTTAATTTGTAGGGGTGTAATGCTAGGGAGTAGAATGCACTTGTTTTTTAGGTTATTAGGCATATTCATATTCAACACCCTGATTTGGGAGAAAAATAATGATGGTGCTAATGTTATTTTGGAAGATTTTTAAGATTCATAGTAACAAAAATGTGCACAAGCACAAGCAAAATGGACCTAAGCTATTCTTAACACACACATTTGTCTTAACACAGACATTGGTCTCTCACTGGGAGACCAGTATTCATTCAAAATTGGGTTGGCACTTTATAAAGGGGCAACTTCCATGTGCTTTTTAGTTGTAATTTTCAGTACTTCAGTACCAAAACAAAGTGGTTGTGGAAGTTACAATCATGCTGCTACTGCCACAAAGCAAAAGCTGCGCCACTACAGACAATCAGGGTGGAAATATTAGACAAGAAAACAGAAACTGGCTGAGCTGATTTCCCTTTACTGAGAAATTTAAGTAATAAAAGAAGATTTTAAACACTAAATAAAAAACAATTTTTTATTGTCTTTCTGTTTGAAAAGCCTGATAGTCATGTGTATGAGTGCATGAAGCTTTTTACTCAGGAGACATGATCCTTCTAGCTTTTTTTACTCATAATGGTCTCATTCATTTACAAATAGCTTTTGCAAGCTCTGACACAAAAACCATACTTCAAAGTAATTGGTTTTTATATCCCATGTTTTTTATCATCTCTTAAATTTATTTTTCTCTCTCTCTAGCATTATTTTATTTAACCATAAAACCAAAATGTGTTAGTCATTCTTAGGTTTGCCTTTTATTTCAGAAAGGTACAACTCTGAGATACTTGTTTGGCTTTACATCCAGAAAGTTACGTTATATTTTATGCAGTTTTGAAAAAATACTTTTTAGAAGTGTCAGCTGACTTGGACAAGCAGTCTACATAACTAAAAACGATGTTGAATCAATCTACTGCACAGTGAAAGCTCCTGGGATTAGCTCTCCCAAGCTTTAAACTCCCAGCAATGAAGGTGGCTATCAAGGAACAAAGTGTTTTTGAAGCAGGTTCTGAACTAACCTGCCAACCCCTTCTGTCTAACCTTCCTGGCCACCAGGTCCCCAGGCTGGACAGGTTTGGAACAGATGTCTCCCACCCAAGGAGATTCACAGTGCAATCCACATTTTCAATGGAAAGCCTAAACCAAAAAGTTACAAGCAAGAGCAGTGCAGAAAGCAGTGCTGTGGAACAGAAACTGCTTGCCAAAATTTCCCTGCCATTACAGCCATGGTTTGGAAATGAGCTGTTTGTTCCAGCAGCAATTCTAGCTGACAAAGCAACCACAGAAATTTCCTCTTTGATTCTGCTGGCATTTGGTCTTAGGGATGGGCCAGGACCCTGGAACATAGACCTGACTTCCATCAGCATGTCTGTTAGCAAAAGTAATGCTTGGTGTGCATGTTTTTTCTTTAACCATTGCTCTAAAAGGTTTTTATGTAGACAAGTGAGTAGGTATTCTCATTTTACTGCCAAGACAACTGAGAAAAAGCCACCCGTGGTGATACTGTATATAAATATCAGATCTAGCAAGAAACCATTAGCCTCTCCATGCTTTTTCTGGAATCCTATCATCTTGATAACCATCATAGCACATACTGCTAACTTGGCCTGTTTTCTTACACTCTGAATTAATGACAGGGTACTTTGGGCTGTTAACTTCACGTATGAAGAAACTAAGTGAGAGCAAAGTAAACTGTCTGTGTTTCTGTGCCTCTGTCTGGGACACATTTGCTAATTAGCAGAAATAGTGTCATTCAGAAAAAAAGACAGGTTTTACTTGCTGAGCTGTGCTGTGTTGAAGTTTGGCTTTGCTTTTTTTTTCTTTGCAGGTATGAAAATGAGCAGCCATTTAGAAAGGCAGTGGAAGATGAAATTAATTCCCTATATAAAGTGATTGATGATGCTAATTTAACTAAAATGGATCTGGAGAGTCAGATAGAAAGCATGAAGGAAGAACTAACTTTGCTGTCAAAGAATCATGAAGAAGTAAGTCCAGACTTGGGACACTGCAAAGCCAATGTGTGCCTGTTTCATCTGGTTGGTATCATACATCTAGTGCAAAGCAAACATTAAAACTCCTCCTGCCATGACTGGGTGGGGGGGTTTTCCTGAAACCTACTCCTATTTCTTTCTTCTGTTTTAACTCTGGGGACTAACCCTTGAGGCATTATCAAATTACTTACATGTAGGTGTTAACTCTTTCTCATTTGATAAATGTGACATGGAAGAGATGCCATCTCTTCTTCTTAGACACCATGTGATGGTCCAGGGGCTGCAACAGTGATGTATGTGGACATCTCAGCAGTGAGATCTGATGGAAGGAGAAAGTGCAGGTGCAAGGCACCAGCTCTGGTCCTGTTGCACTGATGTTGAGCATTAACCAGGTTCTTATGAAAATACCCTGCTTGGCTTAGCAAGGCATTCGGTTCCCAAAACTGAATCTCTCTTGAGAAGCACAACACTAAAGCAAGTCCCAGGGACAGTGGCATGAAGAAGTGGCTCTAAAGAATCATCATCAAAGGTGCTGGCAAAAGCAGATTTAATATGAGATGTGAAAGTGCAATTTAACTTTGATGGGAAGGTTCATTTTATTATAATGGAGCTCACAAAGGAAAATTGGATTAGAGTCAATCTAGAATGGTTTACATGGAAATTTGGGATGCAGAGAGTAAAGGTGCCAAAGGACAAAGATTCAAAAGGGCTAGGGGAGGTCCTCTCATTGAGGTTCAGAGCAGATACCCTTGCTTTCTACACTCTTGATGGAGATTAGGTGCAGCTGAGTCCAAACTTTACCTCAGGTTTGGTCAATGGTTTATAGCTAAAGGATTTGTCAGCACCTGATCACTGTCTAATTTAACATTTACAAAATGATCCAATAGGATTTCATATAAGCATGGTAGTAACTTGACTGTAGATCTGGGATGACAGTATTCATATTATACTTGTTATAGGGTATTTAAATCTATTCACACACTCACACAAACAGACATGAAGAAGTTTGTACAAAGGTGCCTGTTAAAAATTTCCCTCAAGTTCAGTGCAATACTCAAATCAGATGCTTCTGCATCTCTCAACAGGTGAGGGCTGAGCCTTGAGGAGTAGTGGGGATATCCCAGGCCCCACCATCAGCATCACTTTGGCAACAAGTACTGAGTATTGCAAACTCGAGAGCTTGTTGGCTCCAAGAGGTGTCCCAGTAAGAGGGAGATTGCTGCTCACAGCCCACTGCAGTCCAGGAGATCTCAAAGGGCCTCACTCAGGACTACTGTCCCAAGATGATTGGCTCCAGTCATCTGCCAATCTCCATCCTGGCTGTAATCCAAGATGGTAATTATTGGAGTTTTCCTCAGAAGTATGGTAACAAAAACATTGTTCCACTTGGGCTATGATTCAGACAAATTATATTCCAAGGTTATGATAGCTGACTATCTTGTCCCTGTCCTTAGTTAGGGAACAGAAGTTTGTTAGGCAACAGAAGCTCCTAGGAACAGACAGTGTTTCTGATAAACTTAAGGGAAGCTTAATTGCTCAGGAGCCATTGATTGATTAAGGCTGAAGTCTATAAAGAATTCCTGAAACCACAGAGGATCCTGAGTGGGTGGAGAGGATGCACCCCCACAGACAACCTGCCAGAAGAGAAGCCCATACTGCGCAATTTTGCAATACTTTCCTACTTACTACATTCACCAACACTATTTGCATGAAGGTGGTTTACTTCCTTCAGCAGGGATTTCAGGACTGAACACAAATCAGCATCTTTATTCATGGGGACTTTAATATGGAGCTGTTACTAATCCCTCATAAGGGACAGCAAACAACTGTGCTGGTGCCTCAAAAGTAAGATAAAGCTTGAATTGTGATGGTTCATGAAAGCAAGATACTATCCTGCCTTGCATTTCTTACTAGTTGTTCCTCCAACCACAAGATTTCAGCAACACTGGCTTGCCAAGATGAGGTTGCATCACCAGCTCTCTACTTGCATCAGTCTAATTCCAAGGCTGGCATTTTGCAGAAAATAACCAGTGGCTTCATGACCAGTGCATGGCAGAAGATGGCAGTTGTTTTAGATAAGAGGGTAAAGAAAAAAATGATAGAAATAAACAAGATCCTCTTTAAACCTCCAAGTAATGCAATGACTGCTGTGAAACCAAAAAAGCAGGTGCTGATGCTGTTCTCTGTCTGTACCTATGGCATAATGAGAACACCACCTGTCCTTCTTGATCCTCATGTAGCCAGCAAGGAATGGAAAGCAGAGTGGAAAGATGCTCTTTACCTTTTGGGAATACCTGAGCATTTGCAGAACCACTTCAGCACAGGCCTGGTTTTCCAATGGCAGCAGCACCAGGGGAAGCTGCTTAAGAGAAGTCACAGAATAAAGGCTAGAAGCAACTATTGCTGAGCTCTGGCACAATAAAGTCCCAAGGACTTTCCTGAACTAATTCAAACCTTTCTTTCCACTGGTGCTCTCACTACCAAATCCATGTCAAGTCCTTTTGAAGGTTTTGTGAACTTGGAGTGGGCACATTTTGACATTTGCATTCTTGCAGATTCATAATTCACATAATTCCCATCCATTTTTTCCAGTCTTGTCACTGTCAGAGGCCATTGCTTACAAATACAATTCCCAGATGCTTTTACACTACCTTTTTTTTTGTGCCAATAACAGATAAACAGGTTGATATAAAAGGACTGCAGTGCCAGACAGTTAAGATACATATGAAAATCTCATTCATTCTTGTGTCCCTGAACACGATGTGCTACCTTTAAGTGTGCAATTCTAGACCTGATAATTCTCTACTGGTTACATGGTTTTGGAGCACTTAAATGTAAAGAAGGAGCAGAATGCTGCCACAGAGGAAAATCCTCTTCATCTAACATGCATGTGCATAAAACACACACTTGTCTCACACAAGCTGTGAGGCTGTAGAGCTCCTGCTGCTTTGCACATCTTGTATCTGCCAGTAGATGCAGGCCCATGCTCCTGCATAGTGCAGCAGCAAGGGAGGAGTTTTTGATAACCTTTAAACTCTTAGTTCCTTGGCCCAAAGTCCACACTGCAGCTTTACTGGCAATGTATGTAGTGATTTTGGGTCCCAGCTACGCAGCATGCATGTGTCAAGCACTGGCTGCTGGAGAAACTTGCCACTGTTGAGAGGGCTGCTCCAGGCACTGCCTTGGTGCAGGGCTTCAGTCTCCTTCCACCAAGGGGAAAACTCTTCCAGTACCCTAGATCAGCAGGAAGAGACCCCATGCAGAAGCAAGGCAAATCCACATCTGAAGGAGAAACCCTTCAGTGCACTAAATCATTAATGCAGAGATACCTTTTGGGACCAAATTTAATTTCTCTGTTTGTGGCACCAAAAGAGCTCTTCCTCGAGCTTCTCTGAAGATACCATTCAATTGTCCAGTTCACTTTCTTTATGTTTGTTATTTTTGTTCAAGGATGTGAAGGTGTTATACAAGCAGCTTGCTGGATCTCAGCTGGAAGAACTTGATGTTCCCCTGGGAAGTGGCCTGGATGACATTCTGGAAAAAATCAGAATCCACTGGGAGAGAGACATTGAAAAGAATCGTGCTGAGACAGGTGCCCTGCTCCGTACCAAGGTCAGCACTCTGTAACCCACTCCAACATCACAGGGTATCAAGCAAACACAAAATCTCTCTAATATTCTGCAATATCTTTGGGTGTTTTTTGGTGCTTTCTTGAAATAGAAAAGATGCTAAAAATCTCAAGTATTTTGGTCCAATTCCAAAGGAAAATGCACTTATAAATATAAAGGCTTCTTGGGATACACAGAGTTAAGCACTGGTGGAAATGGCCCTGTTCATATCGCCAGTATCTGCGGGAGCCTTTCAAGGCTCTGAAATGTTGGCTAAGAAAACTAAGAAAACTAACTTAATCAGTTGATACCTTTACACCTTTTGTGTAGGATAAGCCACTGTTATTACCCTTCTTACTAGGGCTGTTCTTCCACTTAATAATTTACAAGGGTCCATAAATAAGGGCAAAACACATTGCCCTCTACACTCCCTGTTGGTTTCGCTTCCTTTGGCAGCAGCGGGAAAACTAGATATTAACTTAGAAATGAAAAGTGATGGTAATAGCCATTCCCTTTAAACAGGGATTCTCCTCTTCTGAGGCTGAGTCTGAGACAGCCTATTAATGCAGGTTTTTCTCTGTCATGAAGGGTCACTCATTTTCCAAAGTGTCTGGCTGAAGTAAGTATTTTTGCACAGCTGAAGCATTAAGTTCAGTGGATGATGTTAGAAGTCATCTCATTCTGAGTTGGCTCTTACAGCAGAGCATGACAGAGTAAATCAGGAGAGCAACAAAGATGGTGAAGGGCCTTGAAGGAAACCCTGGTGAGGAGCAGCTGAGGTCACTTGGTCTGTTCAGTCTGGAGAAGACTGAGGGGAGATCTCATTGCAGTTACAACTTGCACCTGAGGGGAAAAGGAGGGGCAGACACTGATTGTTTCTCTCGGGTGACCAATGACAGGACCTGAGGGAATGGCCTGAAGTTGTGTCAGGGGAGGTTTAGGTAGGATGTTAGAAAAAGGTTCTTCACCCAGAGGGTGTTTGGGCACTGGAACAGGCTCCCCAAGCCTGACAAGCAGCACCAAGCCTGACAGAGTTCACTAAGTATTTGGACAATCCTCTCAAGCACATGGTGTGATTCTTGGGGATGGTTCTGTGCAGAGCCAGGAGTTGGACTCAATGATCCTTGTGGGTTCCTTCCAACTCAGCATATCATGTAATTTGGTGAAATCATAACTGCTGCAGCACTGTTGAAATACTTAGCAAAACCATATAGACATATCTCCCCTGTTCCAAGGTAAAGAGCTGCCATGAGAGGTATAGGGGTATCGAAACAGCAAGAAAAAAACAACAAAACCAAGAAATATGTTTGCAAACATATGTGCAAGCTCTGAGTTAATTCTCAAAATAAAGAAGAAAAATCCTGTGACAACAGTGATAACAAAATTTCTAGGAAACATACAAGAAGCCAAGCAGAGGGGTTTATCCCAGAAGTCCCATCAAGCTTGTGAGAATGCCAGACTTATTATGCAAATCAAGTTAGTCTGTGGGGTCTGATTTTTAGCTCATACAGTCCAAAGGAAGTGAGTGACACAGTAAAAAACTACACGAGCCTGGAGAATGCCTCCATACAGAGCACATGCAGCCCTGAAAAGCCAGGGCATCCTCAGTAGCCTTTTGAGCTTTCCCCAGAAAAATCTGTTCCTGACCCACTCTGCCAGGTCTCAGCAAAATGAACATCACTCTGATGGCACCAAATTCTTCAGTGTTCCTGCTTGCCTGTCCTGCTGTTCGTCCCCCTTCTCCTGTGCAAAAATTCCCTTACAACTTCTTTCTTCCTTCTTCTTTCATACCCTCAATAACTGGTCTTTTAGCTACTCAGAGATATCTTTTGGGGAGAAAATTGACAGTTCTTAGTACACTGCTCTGTCATGTCTTTGATACCCAACCCACCCCTACTCAGCCATCTTAGCCTATTGTTCCTGTTTTGGTTTGGTTTTTTGATGGAACAAAGAAACAGAATATCACAGATTTCTGGAATGATTGGTTCTGGTTCTGCACAGATTCTGGTAAGACATTCTAGGGGCTTTTTTTCCACAAATTAAACCCAAATGATGCAGTTTTGTGTCCCTTATCTCCTACAGGCACAGATCAATTCAGATTACTACTATTTATACAGATGACAAGAGTTTACCTTTTATCAACTAAGCTTGTGGTTTTATATCATCTTTTGTAGTTAAATTGTATCATTTGGTTATCCACACAGAAAAAAACTCGCCCTTGCTCTTTTGTGACATCACAGGAGGGGGAGCAGTTCCCTGCACTCCTTTGCTCTTCATTACCAGTTTTTTCCGTGTCTCTCTGTGAGGTTTGCTTGATCCCTAATATTTTAGTTTCCTTTTTCTGCACCTACTCTCTGATGTACCTGTGACCAGCTCAGACCAAGATGTTTGATGTCCTAGCACTGACTTAGATATGAGGGCAGTATTTTTGATATTTTCTGACTAATTACCTTGCTTTGACTTGTGACTAGATTTGCAATCTTGGCTAGATTTTTCAAGGATATTTGGCCACCAAAACACACCAATTTAAATTCATATTTAATGGGGTTTCACATAGGCCTTTTTCAGATGAGTAACCTCAAAACTCAAGTCCATTGGTTTCACCTGTACACTTTTTTGTCTCTAGTGGTCTTTCCCCAATTTGACGTGGGTGATTCAAACCCTTGCAAGACATGCATGCTATTTAATGTTTTTCCCTGGAAAGATGCTTTACTTACTGATGTGCTGTTCATTAATGTAGTTTGATCCACATCCACCCCTGCTCATTGCTAATCCGTATAGTTTTCTGTCATCCATAAATCCTTCTAGTTCATGCTTCATTCCCAATGCAGTAGACCTTGAGGCATCAAGCTGTTAAGCTTCTGTCTTAATGGAACTAGACCTTAATTGTCCTCTTTATGTTCTGTCTCTTGACCAGCTGTTGACCCATGGAAATATTCTTCCCTGAGCATGCAATTACACAGCTTTCTCTGTTGTCCTCATATTAGGTTCTGAAGAATCTTGTGAATTATGCCAGTTTCTCTCATTTGGCTAAAATTTTCCCAGAACTCTCAAGAGCTTTTCAAAGTAACCGTCTTTCTTCACATACCATGCTGGTCTACTCTGGGTGTTGGTGTTCCATTCCTAATCATTCTTTCATTATCTGGATTCCATGAAAAACAGACTACTGAGGGATTCTGCGCTCATGCACAATGCTTGGCTTGGAGCTGTACAGACATTTGAAATCCACAGATTCCTAGGAAACTCAAGCACCAACATGATAAAGACTTAGGAAGATGATTTCATCCTCTCCCTCCATTAATCCAGTTGTTTGTGGTTACCACATGAAGCATCTTGGGAAAAGTCCCCAGAAAACATGAATTGCCTACTGAAGAGGACACACAGACTACTTCTGCACTTCTCCACAGAAGGAACCCCAAAGCTGAGGCCAAGTGTCATGCCCAGCAGGGCCTCACACATGGACACTTGGGCTGGTAATCCTGTAAGGAGGGTGGGGAAACCTTGTGTGTCCCAAAAGCTTTAGAGTACATTCAGCGTGTGCTCACTTGCTGTGTCCTCTCAGTGTTTAGGACCTGGTGCAGCCATCTCCATCTACTCCATCTGCCTGCTCTCTTGTTCACACCACTACAGTCAGGTTCACAGCTTAAGGCAGCTCCTGGAAGGGCTTCAATGCCACCTGTGGTGTGGGCAAGCTGGATTTATAGGTAGCATTTGGGCCACCAGCAGGGTAAATGTGAAAGCCAGGCTTCTGGTAATGGGTATAGGCTACAACACCTTCCTTTCCCTGTGTTTCTCTTTTTAAAGAGACATCTGCAGTCCTCATAGCCTAAGCAGGTGCAGACTACACTCTTAACACCACTTAGGAGACACAATTTCCTGAAGAGTTGCAGGTCCATGATCACTGGTTCACCAGGAATAGAGGTAGAATTATATCTCTCTGGCACAAGCCCCAACAAAGCATTTCCAGAAAACACATGATCTGTGCAATTTTCTGGAAAGGGCAGGTTTGGTGCTTGGAATCAGCCCTCTGCAATACAGGTTCTTAAATCTAAATTTGTGTTTGAGACTTACTTGGTACTTAAATGACCTTTTACCACTGAGGCTATTTAATTCACGATGTGCAAGGTGTGGGGTTCATATGGTAGTAAAAAAAACAAAACTTTTTTTGGTGTATGGTCCTAGATTTTTTAAAATTCGATCTTACTTTTTAAATAAAAGAATGTATAATCAGAAAAGCAGAACAGGGTCAAGATGAAGTTTCAGAGTGGGATGGAAGTATTTTGCATAGTTTAATTTTAGCATCAGCCACAAGAAATGTAGATTGTGGCTGAATAATTGTATTTTCTAGAGAGCCCTGGGCAGAGAAACCTTGATCTCAGCCCTTGTTAAAAAGCATAGAAATTCTATTTTTACTAAGGTACTTTCTCCTTCACCTATTTTCAAGGAATCTGAACTAAACACATATAAAATCCCCCAAGCCACAAGAGCAGGAAACAGCATAATTAACTTATAACTTAATTAACAGAATTTTTTTTTTTTTGACCCCTGTGATATGACTTGCTGTCTGACTCATAGAATCTTAAGTGTGAAATTAAGGTGTGAGTAGTTCTGAAGACACACAACTTTTTAAGAAATATTATAGTATGGCTATAAAATGAACAATTACAGCAATGTTTTTCTCTTTAGAGATAACTTTAAACATACAAGTATGAATTCTGAACAGCTGTTGTTGACATGGATAACACAAATACGCTTGTATGCATAAGCCATTTTACAGTAAATGCCCAGAAAATATGATAATTTTGACACTAAGAAGTATCCAGAATTGTTCAACTGAGGGATTTAATACACAGGAATCAAACTTAGAGTCAGAATTGCCACAAACTGTGAAAATATTACTGTCAGTTTGGGATGTAAGGAAGCTAAACCATAACTTGCGTATGCTGTGATGACAGTCGTCTTCTTTCACCAGCAACAGGCTGAGACGATGGCTGCTGTGCGAACCCAGGAGGAAGAGCTTGTGGAGGGCCTCAGAACCGAGTTCCATGAAACTGCCTGCAAAATACAGAGCTTGCAAGCAGAAACCGAATCTTTGAGAACCTTGGTAAGGAATGCTGGGTTTTCAGTGGGTGTATTCTCTGCAAACTCAACACACATTCTGAGTGGAACATTCCTGTCTTGGGATGAAGAGTTAAGAATGAATCCCATTTTCCACCAGAGATCATTTCCAGAGATGCCAGACATCTCTGGGCTGCTCTTGACTGAAATGGTGCTCTAAGTGTACCACATTTGAAAACCAGGCTCCAAATTTCCATCTTCAGTGTATTCATATTCAATCTCACTGAGATTGCTTGGTAGTGTAGTACCAGACAATGTGAGGAGCATCTGCACCTTGTACAAGTGCTTCAACTTTTGTAATGACAATACTTAATATCAAGGTAGCTAAGAAAATAATTCTCTAAATATATATAGTCAATAGAGATATTGGTCAAACCAGAATAAAAATCACTATGAAGCATATGGAAATTGACTGATTTATTGTCTGCTGTCCTGCCCTTGCAGAAGAGGGGTCTGGAGAACTCTTTATATGACGCCAAGCACTGGCATGACATCGAACTGCAGAACCTGGGCTCTGTCATTTCCAAGCTGGAGGCAGAGATGGGAGAAATCAAAGTAGAAACTGAGCAGCAGCAGAGGGATCGTGAAAATCTGCTGACTAGCAAACAACAGCTGGAGAAAGACATTGCTGCATATCACTGCCTCCTGGATGGAGAGCAAAGCAGGTACTTGTTCTTAAAAGTATGGAGAACACTCTCCTTGGGAAGGGGTTGTGAGGTTGCTGGAAGCAGGAGGACTGGGGTGTTTCTCATGTTTAATAAGGCTAGCTGGTAGATGGTGATGTTTGGAGAAGCTGCCAAAGGGGAAGAACACACCAAATCCCATCAGACAGAGATTCCTGATATATTGGAGATGGGTGGTTTCCAGCACTATCACAGAAGGACATGGTTTGGGAACATGCCATGAGTTTCAAAATACTATAGCTGTGATCCTGGAAAAACTCCCTTTCTAAGCTTGTAAGTTCCCCCTGAAGTCCAAGGATGGAATCTGGACCACTGACTGTACCTTTTGTGAAGAAATGTGGCTCCGACTCTTAAGATTTTTCATGGAACCTGTGAGAATCAGATCCACAGATTTTGACTTGCTCTTCTGCTCAGGCCAGGGAGAATTTTAAAATAATCAGATCTTGCTGAAGATGGTGAGATTTCACCAGCTGAATTGAGGATAGAACATGGTTCACATGGTTCAGCAATTTTTCTGTTCGTAGTAGTGACCAATTTTTATCTTTTTTTTTTTTTTTTCAGCTGATTATGAAACTCCCAGCCCTCAGAAGACCACTGCCATTAAAGTAAAAGATGTCACTGCCAATTATGTTCGTGGAAGCTAAAAACCCATCCAAGCAGCCTGCTTTATTCAGTTTGATTCAACCATCAAAGTAGGTTGTAGCTTGAACAACTTTATTAGACCCTCTTCATGTAATTGCTTTGCTTACAGATTTCAATCTACTCATGTTGTTAAAATTATAATAAATGAAGAATATCAGGCTTTTGTTTGATTTTTTATTTTCTTCCAGTATTTTTCATGATAGCTGGAGGGGGCTGGATTAAGATTATCAACTTTCCATTTCCCACCAAGTAAACTCTTTCTTTTCATGGTACAAATATACCAAGACTGAGCTACCCCTCCACTGTGCACACATCACCCACATGGAACTGATGAGTGCTCTGTTGTGTCACAAGACCATCAGCTCAGTAGTGTGAAATCTAATTCAAATAATGCCAAAGGAGTTAAGTGCACTGTTACCTCAGTGTGATTAATTTTGCAACATGTAAACCAGCAGAATCATTAATCCAAGCATCCCAACAGTACTTTATAAACACATTTTTATGTCTAGACTAAACTTCTGGCAAAGCTGAAAGTGCAACAGCAGTTCTGCCTGCATCCAGGTTACATCTTTTTACTGTATACTGAAAGTCTAAGCCAGGGTATCAGTTTGTGCAAATTTGATACTTTTTGATATATTGATATAGTTTTATATTTGTTTTTATATGGTTGCTCTTTCTTAATATCAACATCCCTCCAAGGTAGGTTGGCCGCACTTTTGAACAGGAGTCCACATAGCATCAACCTGACCTTAGGCTGTTTCCTGTACTTTGACAGCATCACGAGGAAAAAGATTTGCCATCTTTCACTTTTAACTTTTATATTCTAAACATTGATAAACTTGTTGCATTGGATATGCAGTATGGTCACATAAGATGCCAAGATGGATCTTGCATTTTCAGAGAAACGTAATGAACCTTAGCTCCTATCACAAGATTTTAGGCAAATGGCTGGCTTTCCTTCACAAGTTACCACACAGCGATGAAGTTAACCAGATGTGTTTGTTGGATTGGGACTTCACAAGACCTACAGTTACACTGGGTGACAACACAGTTCATTAAATGGACTCAAAGACTACTAAGAAATGGCCTATTAGAAAACACAATGGCATGGAGCACATACAAGAGGTAGGCTTTAGATATTTTGATTTTTAATTGAAACATTAGCTAAGAATGATTAGATTTTACTACTTAGATTTTAATGACTGATAAAATCAAATACCCTCTGAATCCATTAAACTTGATCCAGCAGAGAATTACAGGAATAAGGGCACAAGTGCTGTCATGCCTTTTCTTGTACATTCCCTCACACATGAAAAATCCTTCCTGATGCAGCTGCTTGATAAATGATCCTTCACTTAATCTCTGCAAAAAGTCCATCTGGCATGTACCACCTGCAAGATTTTTATAAAAAATTACTGGATTAAAAGATTACCCAACAACCAAAAAAATAAAGGCAGATGATGGCAGATGCTGGTTTGTTGTTTGTTTGTTTTTTTTTCATATAATGTAGGTTTCTCAGAGCAGCAATAATACTTTCTTATACATCAGTGCAGAGAGAATTTACCAAGCTGAGACTCAATCAAGAACAGTGATGATGACAGAAAATACACGTAAACAGTGATACAAGAAATTAGATGGCACACGCCCTTGGGTTGGGGCTAACTGGTTGGTGTCTAGGAGTGATGACTTTTTGGCATTAACAAAACATAACCTCCCTCTCATTCCTGACACAGAAGAGAACAATGTCCCTATGATTTGAAAGTGAAGAGGGAATTTAAAAAACATAACAATATACAATCTGGATTCAGATCCATTTGCTATCTTCTAGTGATGCTTCAAGTATAAAAAGCAACTGACTATCCCACTGTGAAAGTATTCTTTATAAATGTCACTCATGGAGATAAACCTGATGAAATTCTGAGTCTACAGTTATACTCAGATGTGAAAGATTTTTTTTAAGTTATTTATATGCCATGATCCATTATACTCCATAAAAATTAAATTAGGTTAATAGTAAGATGCTTATTCATTGGAATGAAAATTGTTTCTTTCAAAATCAACCAGGTATTTCAGCATGGACAAGTGTCTGGAAAAGGAGGAAGCATCTAAGCATAAATAATGAATTCCCAGCAGCTTTTCTCTCTATTCCTAGCAAAGACCAAAAACCACAGAAAAGACTGTTTTTGTGAACAGTCCATCAGAAGTTAAAAGTAGCACATTTGGCCCTTCTAAATCAAAGTGCTTTCATATTAAGTGCTAAATCTCTTGTGAAGAAATTTCTCTGCACTTTTACACAGATTCCTGTGGGTACCTAGCTGGCTATGCAGCCCCTCCAGGCTGCTTGAATGCTGTCTAAGCACTGGCAATCTTCACTGTGTGAGATGGGATACTGAGAGTATGAGAGACTAAAGGCTTTCACATCCATTTGTAAGCACTAAGGTTCATAAACTGATATAAGCTTTATATAGCTTTATATTTATGCTCTAGTCTAGCAGTTGCTTTATTAAATACACACAAACATGTTTCCAACTGGTTTTCCTCAGAAAATCAGCACCAGAAAACAGATTTTATTATCTCCCACTGAAGTATCTCTCACACCTATATTCCTGTGAAGGAATTTGAGGCATTTTCTGTTATGAACACTCAGGATGCAGAGAGCACAGATAATACAATCTAACAGCCAGCTGCTGCACAAAAGGACATCTCTATATCCCCTCATGTACTATTTATTCCCATTGCACCGTCTTGTGTTAGCGCCAACATCTGTCTGATGTCTCAGGAGACAGCTCAAGATTCAAAATCAACAGAAAATTAGCCCTGCAAAATGCTGGGTGACTTTCCTGCTACTCGGTTCCCTGAATCAGGCCACTGCAGGGACAGATGTACCAAAGGCAGCACAGGGATGGGAGGGGGAGAGGTACTAATCCAGACTGTAAAGCACAGCCACCCCCTTAGTGATAGCTACTCACCAAGTCAGATGAGCTGGGCTATGAAACCATATGTGTACTTTATACTCCTCCCAGCCAAGCACAGCTTCTTCTGCACCACAGCCTGAACCCACACTGCTGCATCCTTGAGGGAAGGAGAGGGTGCCAGCTCTGTGTGAGCCCCTGCCTCATTTAGGATTTCACGCTAAGCAGCAACATAGCACACCAGCTAGGAACTGGTATTCTACTGCTCATATTTTAGTATAAGGACTATTATACTGATTCTGTGGTTAAAAGATTATTTTTAAGGTCACTTTCACTCTGGCATTGTCTAAAATTTAACAGTTTAACTAACCACCATGCACTGCTGGCACCAGTGCCTGTGTTCAGATGGCAACCAGTGGTGGAGAAATAAGCACAATAAAATTTCTCTCTTCTGGCTGTAGACATCTGAAACTACAGCAAACTCTGAGCATAGAGCAAGGTTAAGCTCCTCAAGAGAAGTGGGCCCATGATGTGACAAGGACCCCACCAGAACCTTTCTGCAAGCTGCTCTGCACCTAAGGGTACCTTCTCCAATTTCCTTAAGCAGGCATCTGCCCAGGAGTCACTGAATGTTTTTCTGCTTGTGCTCTGCAAATGTCAAAGGAGTTTGCAGTGCTGTCACCTTCATGTCACAGAATGGAGATAATTGGATACAAAGGAAGATGAAACACTGGGAGACTGGAAATGGAAGCCTGCTCCTAATTCTTGCATCACCCACAACTCACTCCAACTTTCTTTCCTTCAGTTTCTCCAAGGAAACAATGGCTGCTGTATCACTTTTCCTACATGCAGTAGTGCTTCACACCTCAGGCTTTATAAAACACACCAAAGTGCACAGGGAGCAGCATCATGGCAGGACTTGCCATAGCTACAGAATGGAGAAGAGGCAGATAAGCACCACTGTACGTGGAGGAGAGAGAGACAAAGTCCTCAGAGTCCTGGGGGTAAATCTGTACCTGAGCAGAGGCACTTGGAGCGCCGTGTCTTGCCAAAGGCGGGTCACACAGGTCAGGGATGCACAGTGCAGCAGGGAGCCGTGTGCTGAGCTCATGCTCCTGGCACTGCAATGTGACATTCTGGATATATTCCTTGCATTGCAAACATCACTTCTGCCAGTCTGTGCCTGTGAGCAATTCTGCAGCCAAGTGTCCTCTGTGCAAGTATTGAGGGGCGTTGAATTTGAAAAAGGAAAAGAAAACCAAAAAAACCTGACCTTTTCTCTGCACCTAACTTTTTACACAATAACAATCTTAATGGTAAAAGCTGATGCAATGCGTTTGCCCAGAAATGCAAACACCGTGCGTCAGCACATTTTCACAATTTTACATAAAAATAAAACTAGAGGTGGGAGGTAAATCCAAGCATAACTGCATAACTAATACTTCCTTTAAAGCACCAACTGAGACATGTCTTTAAATCTGGATCTAAGCCTTCCGAGGCCTAAAACGTTGCTGCTATTTTCCATGATTTCTGCTGAGTCTGTTCCAGATTTAACAGCTGAAATGTCTCTTGGTGCGCTGCTCCTGACAGGTATTAAGTTTCTAATCCAGAGCTGGGCATTCCAGCCTTACAGTACTGTGTTTGCAAGAGACAAGTGACGCAGATGCTAAAAGCTGCAAAAAGGCATCAGGTTCACATTCTCCGGCCTGATAATGGGGCTATCCATAATAATACAATGAAAATATTTTACCAGTAGCTGAAATTCAAGAAATGATCAGCTTAGAATCAGGCACAGCACTGTGCTTAGTAAATTATTAAGTTATCTACCACAAAAGCTGAGGGACACAAACTGTGTGCTTAGTTGCAAGGTATTACCAGTGCTAAGCTGCAAGTCCCAGCATGGGGCAGTGCTGGAGGTATGTTGGATTCCCAGGAAATAAAGGAGCACAAACACAAGGGAATGCGGTGCTTTGACAACAGGAATGTCAAATACTCTTCCACACCCAATTGTTCCCTGTCACACCTTCCCCATGACCTTCCATCAGCTGAAGGGGGCAGTAGGAAGGGAGTCTCATAGAAAAATGAGACTTTGCTACCAATTTTGCTCCCTAAGGCAGCAATGATTCCTATGACAAATGGAAAATGTCACTGATCACATGACATTCTTGGTGCTACCAAATTAATTGTTATGCTTGCAACTTTTAGCTCTCTAGGGCCTACTCTGTGCAGGCTCTAATCCTCTAAG